AAAAAAGTAAGATTTAAAAGGCAGAAATGAGAATACTCTATCACTTACTGATAACTCATCTTTGTATTATGGTTATACTGTACATCGGTAGTGGGAAATGTGGATAAAATCCCTTATCGCAGAGACATCCTGGTTCCATATGCACTGACCATGAATCACAATGCCCATAGTTCACAAGCAGACAAGGACCCCATATGATGATATATAAGATTTTGTGGGGAAATAATTTGAGAAACTGGACAGAACAACTAGACCGATTTTCAGTTTGTTTATTCCAGAAAATGAAAAACTTGAAAATTTAAGGTACTTTATCCCACTGATTAAACAATTCTGTAAATCAACCTGCCATAAAACAGTTCTGCACACTAGAAAGTACAGTTCTGACATGACTGCATCAAGTTTTAGGTTTAAGGTTAAATCATCCATATTCATTCATTTTCTACCGCTTAGTCCCTGAACGGGGTCACGGGGGGGCTGGAGCCAATCCCAGCCGGCAATCGGCCGAAGGCGGGGTACACCCTGGACAGGTCGCCAGTCCATCGCAGGGCTAACACATAGACGATCAACCACACACACGCACGCACTCCTATGGGCAATTTAGAGACACCAATCAACCTAAGCTGCATGTCTTTGGACTGTGGGAGGAAGCCGGAGTACCCGGAGAGAACCCACGCAAGCACGGGGAGAACATGCAAACTCCACACAGAAAGGTCCCAGGTGGGGCCCAAACCCAGAACCTTCTCGCTGTGAGGCATCGGTGCTAACCACTGCGCCACCGTGCTGCCCAATCATCCATATTCTAATGACTATATAATGGGTTTACCATTTTGTTGTTGTTTTATTCTGACATCTGACAGTGACTAGACATTTGACATAAATGGAGTTTTCTCTCTTTCTGTCTCACAGGAACTGGTATGATGGTGCAGAATGAGGCCTCCTCTAGCCTGTCCAGTCACCCTCTGCACCTCTTCACTTGCTTGGTTCTCCTTACTCTTATGTCTTTGTCAGGCCTGTGATATCAGTCAGTGTTCGGTCTTTTTATTTTTAATAGCTTGAAACTTAAGCTCTCCTGTGTCTCAGCTTGTGTTTTGGATCGGGGTGAGTTCTGATGGTCAGGGGTTGGGGGTTTGTAGCACTACAGGGATTAGAAGGGTGGGGCAGCAAAGTGGGGACTGTGTTGTCATTTTTTAATAATAAAAATAAAGAATGTCTTGGTTTTTTTTTTTTATAAAACCAACCATGTCTGGATGAATTGAAGGGGGTTGGGCAGCCCAATCTGAGGTCAGTGAAATCCATGCCTTACAGGGACCATCACATCTATGGCTGACACGTATTACACTAGCATCCTCTGAACTGTAGCGGGTGGCACACAGGCTTCAGATGTAAATTATTCATAGAATCAATGATGTGTGTAACCTGTGTATATACAGTAAGTGCTACATGTTATGGAGGCCTGCCTGTTCACACTGAGAGCAACCTGACTGATGAAACAAATCTGAGAGACTGTAGGTAATATGAGAATAGCTCATCATGCATTTTTCACTGCTTGGTATTTCCTATCATAACTGTGTGATTAGTGTTCCCTACAGCCTTTCAGGTCAGGAAAATGCCTGTTGAAATGACTGAAGTGACCAAATAATGCTGGAGAAAAATAGGCGTAATGGAAGACTATTTTCATCTTCTTTTCCTAAGTCTCATAATTTTTCTGTGGTGTTGGTTTGTAGTCAGGTTCACCATACTGTCTTAACTGCACAGAGTTGTCATAAATTGGTCATTTCAGTCTGAATAACATCTGTTCATGAGGAGGTGTGTGCTCATGAGCTTTGATCACTGGCGTTAACATTGCCCTCAACTGTTATTTAAGGCCATCTCTTGTGCTCGCAGTAGCCCTACTATCAGAAATTAGCTGCTACAAATATAATAAGATATATAAATATCTGACGTGAGATTGGAGGGGAGAAAGTAATTATCAAATATTAATAGAGCTGCCAAGGATATGTCATAGGAGTGTTGTACTGTGACAAATAAACAAGAAATGGTTTGACATGATGCTAAAATGTCCTGTTAAGCAAAGTGCCCCATAACTGGGATGGCAGGAGGTCAAGGAGATGTGACAGCTATGGAGATGGAATAAAGAAGGACTAGAACTGGGCACAGCAGCGTAGTGATTGGCACTGTTGTCTCACAGCAAAAAGGTTCCAGGTTTGAGCTCTAGCCGACCCGGGGTTTGCATGTTCTCCCTATGCCTACGTGGGTTCTCTCCAGGTACTCCAGCTTCCTCCTACAGGTTGATTCCGCCCACTTAGGTTGATGGTGACTAAATTGCCCATAGGAGTGAGTGTGTGTGGTTGTTTGTCTCTGTCAACCCTGTGATAGACTGGGGACCTGTCCAGGGTGTACCCCACTTCTTGCCCAATGCCAGCTGGGACTGGCTCCAGTCCCCGCCCAGCCATATTCAGGATTAAGCGGTATAGATAATGCATGGATGGATAGTACTGAACAAGTTTTAACAGAATAGATTGCTACACTGACTTACTGCAGTTGAATCCAGCTGCTCTTAAACCATGAAGTCTGCATTTGTCATGAATTACAATTAGACTTCAAGCTGCTGTTCAAGATACTGTATCTAGACCCACTTCCGAGCAGTACCATCCAGTCTGAGCAACAGAAAGAAATGTTAGCATTGTTAGAAATGTTTTTGTGACAGTGTTTGGAAGTATTTGAAGTCCCACAGTAGTATACAGTACATGCATCCCTCTGTTACTGTATATCAGGTGCACTTGCAACAAGTTGAAAACAATATTATAAAAAAAAGACATCACACTGAATAAACACTCCAAAAACAGATTTATTGAATTTAAGGTTTTAATGAGACCTCTTTATCACATCATATTCAGTAATATTCAGTGACCATGAAGCTCCATATACTTGACCTGGCTGAACACAGGTGTGAGGTCCAGGTCGAGCCTTACCATCATTTACATCAGTAAATCCAGTACACATCACATTTCTTAGTTTTCTACAGGCTCAGGGATAGTAGTGAAATATCAGTGAGTGGGATGTAATCAGATTCTGACAGTAAGTCTAACAGCAAACTCTACTCAGTTTAGTGATATGGTGAATATAATAAAATTAATCCATCTAAGATTTGGTTCTATATATTTGTACATACAGAAAAGCCTCACTGTCATTCAACACAGCAATAAAATGCAAAACACAAACATGAGTAACTGGTTGTAGATAATAATAATCCTCTCAAGCCACTTCCAGAATAATTCAAGTTGACCATTTCTGTTCCACATGATCAGTCTTGGTAACCCAAATCTTACTGACACAACTGAACTTGTCATGGTTTGTGCTGGCCTTGTTGCTCACAGTGTGAACACAAAAGAGGAGTCACTCACTGAAGCACTGAGGAGCTTTTTATTGTTGATTTTCCACTTCTCCTAATGTCTGTATGTTAGTTTATGTTTTTGCCTCAGCTGTAATATAGCAAACTCCAGAACTGTGTCACTGGTCCAAATGAATGTTTCATTTTCTACTTTTAATGTCTCATTTTGGGGGAAGTGAAATCAGATGGGCAAATGAGTATTTAATTCACTGTTTACATGTGTTGTGCCTGTTTTGTTTGAGTAGCTCAGCTAACACTGTAAAACTGCTTCTGTTTAGTGTTCAGTTGGTTTACTGCAGCTGCTTTTAAGCTGATAGGTTGGTGTGAGAGGCAGCAGGCATTATATTAGTGTTTAAAGAGTTTGCCAAAGTTATCAATGAGTACAATTAACAGTGTCATATTTTATCCTCATTCTAATCCTGATGGCAACAATTAGCTGTTATGTAACATCTGGTTCACCATGGTGTATAGGAAGAGAGCAGCTTTTAGCAGACAGTTTCTGTCTGTAACTCACATTTCACCCCAGTTAACTTGTCCACGTCAAGCCTGGTCAGCTTGTCAAAGACAGACATCAAAAATGTTGTTTGTTGCCTTCAATTTTTTTTTTTTTTTTAGCTGATTTGCGCAGATCTGTCTGCTGTTAGCAGTTTAATACTCAGAGGGGTGAAAAGTCAGTGATGCTTTGGGTTTAGATTATTGTCCAAGACTCAGTAGCAACAGGGATCCATGGGTTTAGCTTTGTTGTCACTGCCAACAAATCAGCCCCATCTACTTTTCTGTTATTATTTTACTTGTATGATGCTCTGTTCACTGTTGCAGGTGAACTTCTTTTGCCAAATATACATACCAATGGATGAAGTAGTCAATTTACTATACTGTGACAATTTCTTAACTATGTTAGTGCCTTAGTTATATAGCAACCTAAATGCTTCAATATTTCACAATTCCCCCTTTTGATCTCAAAAGAGATCACACCTTTACTGCTCTTTGGGGCAGGAAACTTGTTCACACTCATCAATTCCCTCTTCCTGTTCCAGTAATGATATCATTTGTTTTTAGGATTCATATCTGTCCCTGCCTTCAATGGCTGTAGTGATTAATCTGTTGCAAAGGGAGCGAATACAAGGAACACAACAACAACCACATGTAATCAAGACAGTTATCATAATTGCCACTGTAATGAGTACAGAGACAATAACCCCCTTCCATTTACCAAACATCCTATTGAACCATGC